TTCGAGGCCAGCCTGGTCTCCAGAGCTAGTGCCAGGATAGGCTCCAAAGCTACACAGAGAAACCCTGTCTTGAAAAACCAAAAAAAAAAAAAAAAAAAAAAAAACCATAGATTAAAAGCTATGGGTTAATTTAAGCTATAAGAGCTGGTTAGAAGCAAGTCTAAGCTATCAGCCAAGCTTTCATAATATCTTCATGTTATTACTGGGGAGCCGACAGTTCCGATGAAAAAGTCTGACTACACAGTTCTGCTTTGACCCTCTCAGTGTATGCACCACACATATGCATTAGATAGACATATAGATGCACACACAGTTTTATACATATGTGTGTGTGTGTGTGTGTGTGTGTGTGTGTGTGTATTTAGGTTATATTCACCAAAGAACACAATCTAGATATTTAAAGATAAAAGAATTCTTTTTTTATAAATATAATGCCTTTTTTTAAAGATTTATTTATTTATTATGTATACAACATTCTGCTTTCATGTATATCTGCACACCAGAAGAGGGCACCCGACCTCATTATAGATGGTTGTAAGCCACCATGTGGTTGCTGGGAATTGAACTCAGGACCTCTGGAAGAGCAGTTGGTGATCTTAACCTCTGAGCCATCTCTCCAGCCCCCAGATAAAAGAATTCTTAATATACACAGGACATGGCTGGCTAGCTGTTTGTTTGTTTTTTGTGGTTAGCTGTTTCACTAATCCTGTTTGTGGTACTTCTAATAAAAGAGAGTAGCCAGGCGTTGGTGGCTCACCTTTAATCCCAGCACTCGGGAGACAGAGGCAGGTGGATCTGCATGAGCTCGAGGCCAGCCTGGTCTATAGAGCGAGTTCCAGGACAGCCTCCAAAGCAATACAGAGAAAACCTGTCTTGAAAACAAAACAAAACAAAACAAAAACAAACAAACAAACAAACAAACAAACAAGAAAAGTATGACTTTTAGCCAATGAGAAGTGTAAACTAGATCCAAGAGGGGTTGCTTCCTGTCTCTGTCTCCTTGATTTCCCCCTGTCTTCCTGTCTTGCCTCATGCTCAGTTCAATGGCGAACTTTGATGAAACAAAGTGTTGCCTAATCATGGCAAACAAAAGCCAATTAACATTTTTTAACTAAACTTGCTGTTTTTACTTCTGATGCGGTGGGGAGGCAGACCCTTACAATGGGGTCTGAATTTGCACCGAGAGGACAAGGGACAAGCCTCTCTGGGAGAGGCTGTGGTCTCTATGGCAGTTCAAGAGGCTGGGGGGGGGGGATGACTCAGTGAAATGGGGGGAGGGGTTATGCCAGTTTTCTTATGCCTCCTGTTTCTTCCTTTACCCTACCCATTCTGTCTTCCACTTTACCGAATCCAGAGAGCACTTCTTCACACTCACAAATAAAAATACTCCTCACAGAGTAACAGCCAAATTCCTAACCCCAGCTTCCCAGCCCTGCACCTGCTGCCACCAGCTTTGCATATGCAAAGGAGGGTCATCCCAGATTCACACACGCACTACCCAGGGCTTTGATGCTTCATCCGGATCACCATTCGCCCCAGGACCTACTTTCCTCTTCCTCACGTGAGTTTCCCCAGTTGCTCTCTGAGCAGAGACTCCTCCCAACTCCACATTTCCCCACTTCCCTAGCTCCTTCCATGCTCTCGCTCTCCCTTATTTCATAGCTTCATAGCTTTGAAATATTTTATAGTAACATCAGGTTGTCCAATTCCTCTCTGGAAGAGAAGGTCTTCGAGCTAGACTGTTGGCTCTCTTGCTCCCTCTCCGGCAAATGGGGCCTTCAGCGTAGTGATTAGCATAGGCTGAGTGAGTCTCTTTACCAAGGAGGCAGAGGAAGAGGAGAAATGTCAGTTACCCTGCAGTAGCAGGAAGCCTTGGGAGGCATGGGCCATCTATTCAATGCCTGTAAAACAAGGGATGGGGCTGGAGTGATGGCTCAGAGGTTAAGATCACCGACTGTTCTTCCAGGGGTCCTGAGTTCAATTCCCAGCAACCACATGGTGGCTTACAACCATCAATTATGAGATCCGGTGCCCTCTGCTGGTGTGCAGATATACATGGAAGCAGAATGGTGGGGACAAAATAAATAAATAAATAAAATATTAAAAAAAAAACTAGGGATGAGGTGAGGTTTACACACATCATCTAGAATTAGTGGGCAAGTGGGCTCTGGCTGGAACATGGCTTACAAGTGAAGCAGACCAATGGAAGCTGCTGAGCTAGCAGTCTGGAATTCTGTCTTTGCTTTCATTGACTTCTGATACTTCAGACGTAGCATTAGATGAAATCCTGGAGTTACCTACTACCATAGCTGTGTGATGACTGTCCTTGTCTCTGAATAGATGGGGGAGGGACTTGGAGATGTGTTCCACCAGAGGAATCTCTTACACTTAGAAAAGAGGGAGGGCTGTAGGGGACGAGATTGGGGCAGGGGTGGAATGCTCTGGACTCTACATAGGAAAGGTAAGGGTGATAGATTGAAACTGTGGCAAGTTGGGCACACTTCTGTCCCAAAGGTTCTGGGTTTGTCATGTAAGAAACACAAGATCATTCTCTCAGGGTTTGATATTGCACGGTATGGTGTGTCCCTAATAGCAGAAAAGAGAGCTAGATAACAGTGAAAGGAAAGAGGCTAGCAGGAGTACTTGGTAAAGGAGAGAAGACGCAAAAGGGCTGTGTCTAGGAAAAGGAAAGACTTTTATAAAGAAAGAACCTCAGAGTAGGACATTGGGAAAACATTATGACAAGGAGAACTGAGAAAGAAAAGCAGACAGTGCAGTGAACATAACCAAATGATGGAAAAGAAGCCAATGTTCCGTCTCCAGTGCTTATCTTGAACTTGGAGAAAAGGAAAGGAGGGAGAGCTGAAATCCTGGTGGCTGTCTGGCACTGTTCCTGGGATCTGTCACCCAGCAGCCCTGCCCTATTTCCGGCTCCTCAGGGCAGGACACCCTTGCTATCTAGGATGAGTTTCCAGTCCCAGATGGTGAGCCTTCGAGGAAAGGGGTGGAAAATTGAATGACTGCAGGTTGTTAAAGACTGACACTGCTTATTCTAGCCCCTCCCTCGGCTCCATCGTCTCTCCTGGAAGCTCCTGATGACTCAGAACGAGCAAAGGGCCAGTTTAACAGGGCCAAGCACTAGGATTCATGGTTACTTCTAGGGAGTTCTGGAAGGAAAGGACCTAAAAAGAGAAGAAATTTACAGCATGGCTTCTGGGGGGTCTCAGGCTTAAGGAGAGGGTCAATTCACTCTGGTGGTCTACAAGCTCAGTACCTAGAGGTCCTGAGATCCCAAAGTCCAGACCACCTCACGGAGGAAAACTTGTGTATTCTCAGCTTCCCACATGCCCATTGGACTGGCTTTTCTGGAAGAAGAGATGGGGAACCAACAGATTTAGAAGGAAAAGACTTTTGAAGGGTCTGGACTGAGAATGGATAGATGTGAGCATACAGGACAGACAACCCAGGCACAGCAAAATATTAACCACAGCACACTTTGTGATATAAGTGTTGGCTATACAATTTTTTAAACTTTATGATCGTCTTTTTCATAATAAAATGTCAACAAGTAGAGAAAAATTGTCAAGCAAATATTTGGCACCACTCAATGTGTTAAAAGTGCTTTTATATTCTGGGAGAAGACCTATTACAAACACCTGGAGAGCGCAACATTTACCCAACAGAAGGCAGGTCTCAGGCAAGAATACCTTCAGATCATTTAGGGTAGGGAGAACATTCCTCCAGGCCTCTAGGATTACATTCTCATTTGCTTGTCTGTGTTTTCAGACAGGGTCTCATACTGTAGCCCAGACTGGCCTTGAACTCATGATCCTCTTGCCTCGCCCCAAATGTTGGTGTTACACACATGAGCCACCATGTCTGAATTAATTATTCTCTTTAGATTCTAGCTGCTTTTCCTGCCCTTCAGTTGGACTTTAAGAAAATTTATTACATCTCTTCACAAATCTGCACTTTGTCTAGAGTGGACCCCACCTTGCCACCTGTAACCGTAGCGGGAGAGGCGGGATAAGGTGTTCCAGACCCTGCTCAACACCTGACCCTAGGAGGTTGGTCATGTTTGCTCAGCAGGTGAGGTTCACATAATAAAGAACAGTGGGAGGGCTTGGACCTGGTATAAAAGGTCTGGGAATTTCTAGAAGATTTGCACCTGAAACTGCTAGGGGAAAGGTGAGTTGGGGGAAGACCTCCAAATCTGAGCTAGGAAAGACAATGCCTGGACTGTAGCAGGGCAGACGCAGGCAGCAGCTCCTGGATGGGAGCTATTTTGGGGTGCAAAGGTGTCTGGTTTTGGCTAAGGGGGGTGAATATGGACAGGCTTAGCTGTGGGAGACAGGGTTATGACACACAGACAAGTTGCTTGAGAACTGATGTCTGAGCTCGTGCAAGCTGCTCCTAAAATCTCTTCGCCTCGCTCAGTTCCGCCAGTGCTCCCTGGACATTGGCGAACTGTCTTCTATTGTCCTTTGCTCTTGAGGTGATACAGAGGCACCTTGAAAATGTTCTTTGCCTTGATTTAAGAGTAGAGTGATGCTAGAGCTTTAACTGTGCCTCAGACAGCTCATCAACCATTTGATTTCAGGGAGGTTTTGCTCTGATTCTTGGATCATCAGTTCAACTGCCTCAATATTTTGGGGGTGACCTTTACTTCCTCTTCAGAAAACTCTCTCGTGCTTTGTGCCTGCATGAAGGGAGGCTTGACTCAGTTTAACACAGACGGAAAGTTTGGATTATCTTTTTGGATTGGGAAAGAAGGGTTAGTTAGGTACGGTCAGAACAGGGAGAACCGGAGGGATTAGGGGCCTGGAAAATAATATCTGAAAGGAACAGGACTATCCCTGGGCAGTTTTGTAGGTCTCTTAGATCTGAATTGAAATATCACCATGACATGGGTCTGTATTCCCAGCCAGAGATGCCTGGGTAAATGAAATCCAGAAAGCAATGAGCCTTCCTTTTCTCCCTCTTCCCACTGCAGCCTCAGAATGCTGGCCATCATTCTCTTAGCCCTTCTTTGTGCCTCGGCCTCTGGCAATGCCAGTAAGTGAAATGCCACTGACCTGGTAATGGGATAATGAGAAGGCAGCCCATGTACTGCTGATGCTGGTCAGGGCTGCCTGATACTGGTTTGGGGTGGTGGGGGAAATGGGGGTAGTGGAGAGCAGCTGTGCTCCCAGAGTATCTGTCCCTCCAGGCCTTTCTTTCTCCTCTAGTTCAGTCCAGGTCCTCCTCTTACAGTGGGGAGTATGGAGGTAAAGGAGGAAAGCGATTCTCTCATTCTGGCAACCAGCTGGACGGCCCCATCACTGCCATCCGTATCCGAGTCAATTCACGTTACATAGTAGGGTGAGAGTCTTCATGTTTCTGTGGTTTGGGAACTGTCTGGGACCTTACTAGGTTGGGAAAGTCTCATTCACTCTGGATCACACCTGTTTAAATCGGTAAGTCACAGTAACGTGTTGGAACACCTGGAGTCTAGATCTGTGCTATTCTAGTCCCCTAATACACATGACCTTGGCAAGTCAACAATCACAAACTCTCAGGGGTCTCACATTACCTGGGTTGGATTTCACCTGAGGTCTAAACCTCTTTCCCATATTTCTGTCGGGCATACTTTACCTGTGCTTGTTGTCTGTCCTGGGGTAGTCCCATCCCTTCCTCCAGCTGGAAACTTCCATCAAATGCAGAGCCAAATGCATTTCCTTCTAGTCTAAGTTCTGAACTGTGACACCGTGCTGGTTCGTCTCTCCTCTGTCTTGCCTGGGACACTTTCCAGTGTTTGAAAATCCTTGGGCTTCTTTGAAGTTTGTGTTGGCGGTGAGCTCAGACTCTGGCTGTGGGGGTGACAGAGTCCCAAAAGCCAATATGCCAGCAAAATGAGAAGCCGAGATTCTCTGCATGGTCTTCTAAGGCTCACGCAGTCTTTGTATCTCATGGAACTTGTCACCAGTTTGAAGATACAGCATATAGACTAAGAAGATTATATATATATATATATACATATATATATATATATATATAGTTTATTTTATGTTTGTGTGTGCATGATATGTGGGGGTGCCCAGGTGCCCCACCGTACATGTGGAGGCCAGAGGGAATCTTCTGTGAGTGGGTTCTCCCCCTCCACCACGTGGGACCTAGGGGTGGAACCCGTGTGGTCAGGCTTGGCAGCAGGCACCTTTACCAGCCGAGCCATCTCTCCATTCCAGTCTTGAATTGTAATAACCATGTTCCACGTGTTCCTTCTTCCTTCCCACCCCTGCCCCCAGTCTCCAGGTGCGCTATGGCACAGTGTGGAGTGAGTATGTGGGTGGCAAGCAGGGAGACCTGGAGGAGATCTTTCTGCACCCCGGGGAGTCTGTGATCCAGGTGTCTGGGAAGTACAGGTATTACCTGAAGCAGCTGATCTTCGTGACAGACAAAGGCCGCTACCTGCCTTTTGGGAAAGACTCAGGCACAAGTTTCAACGCCATTCCCTTACACCCCAACACCGTCCTTCGTTTCATTAGTGGCCGATCTGGCTCTGTCATCGATGCCATTAGCCTACACTGGGATGTCTACCCTAGCCACTGCAACACTTGCTGAAACCCACCTACTCTCTGGCAGCGGGTCTGTGTGGGTGTGAGAACCCTCTTATCACCAAGCCCCATGCAAACATGCAAATAGCTTAATAAAAGGATATGACTAAAGATGGTGTTTGTCCACATCCTAATTCTAATAAAAATGTGTGAAACTTATTTCTGGACTTTTTAAAATATTCAATTAAAAACATTTTGAGACAGGATCTCTCTACGTCCTGGAACTCACTATGTAGACCAGGCTGAACTCGCAGAGTCTGCCTGTCTCTGCCTCTGGAGTGCTGGGATATAAGGGGTGAGCCACCATGCCTGGCTGTATCTGGCTACTGTTGAACGTTAATCTAAGGAAATGGGAGAATAAGGATGAGATGTGCTATGGGCTTTTCTTTATGCCATCAAAAAGAGACAAAATTCTGCCTGCACCAACTCTTCCCAAGGACAGCCCCTGAAAATTTTTCCTAATAGGACTTCAGAGGCTAGGGTAAGGCTTGGTTGTACCAACTTGCCAAAACTCACTCTCCAGCTCCCCTCTGCTCCTTGCCTTGGGAAACTGCTTTCCTGCCCCCAAATGTCACCTTATTCAATTGGCATGATGTCACTTGCTGTTTGTGGTGGGAGAATTCTCCTTTCTTCTTTCCAGAATCCACCTAACTTCTAAAGTTTGGCCTAAGGACTTGCCTTAGCCTCTATCTCTTCATTTGACTCCAAGCCTGGGTGTTCCTAACTTAGCTCTCTCAAAATTGAGACTCCTTTCTTGAGAAGCTACCACATTCCCAGTAGTGTGAGCACTATCATTGCTGTGTTCAAAAGAGAAAACCGCTGGGCTGGTATGGTCTACATAGAGACTTCCAGGACTACCAGGGCTGCAGAAAGAGATCCTGTCTCAAGAAATCAAAAGCAAAAGGGGAAATCCTAGGTGAGCCATGGTGGCGCATACCTGTGATCCAGAACTTTAGAGACTAGGCTAGCCTGGTCTGCATAGTAAGACCCTAAGTAAGAGGCTTAAGAAAGCACAAAAATTGCCACAAGTTTAAGGTCAGCCTGGGGGACATAGTGAATTCCAGCTTAGTCTTGGATACAGTGAGACACTATCCCAGAAACCTAAATACACGAATAAATAGATAAGTGGGCAAGTCCGAGAGAGGAGGTTTTCATTATGGGTGGTCGTGAATAGAAGGGGTTGGTGAAAATACAGGTCACTATATAGATTCAGCAAAGATACAAAGTCACTTTGAAAATAATTCTTAGGATCCCAGTTCCAAGTCCAGTTCCAAGTCCTACAACACTAACAGTTTGTGGCAGTAGGGAGTTACTGAAGTCCTGGTTACAGAAGTGTGCCAAAACCCATTTATATGAGGCTATGGCTTCATGCATGCTAGGTGAACTCTATCAAAGAGCCATATCCCCAAATGTCCTTTCTTTCAGACAACTACATGGAGGAGATTATACCACTGCCTTTTATTTATATGTAAATCACATAACATGAAATTCATCCCTTTACAGTGCAGTGTGGGGAAGGGATATAGTCTACGGTGTGTCCGTGTGAGTACATGTAACGAGCATGTGCATATGTGTGATGAATGTGTGTCCTCACCTGTGTGAAAGCCAGATGTTGGCATCACATATCTTCTGTTGCTCTCCGCCTTTTTGAATGTTTTCTTTTCTTTCTTTCTTTTTCTGTGTGTATTGTGTCTGTACAGGTACACACATCTGTGCACATGTGTGCATGGGGAGCACAGAGTACTCATTGTGTCTTCTGTCACAGTCCACCTGAATTGTTTTGAGACGGGGTCTCTAACTGAGCCTGAAGCTTACTGTTTTGACTAGGCTGGTTGCCCAGAGACCCCCCCCAGGATCCAGCTATCTCTGTTCCCCAATGTTGGAGCTGCAGACATTCGAATGGCCGTGCCTTGCTTTATGTGCCTCTTGCTTTCACAGCTAGGGTTCCTTACCACTGAACCATTCTATCAGTCTCACATGTTAGATTTTTGCAAAACAAACAAACAAAAACATGTATTTGAAGAATTTTTCTTTACTAAAAAGAGGAAGTTTTGGGTGTTGGTTGGGAGATGGTTTGGACAGGATTAGCAGGTTGCTCTTGCAGTGTCCCTGCAACCCACAGCACCCAATGGGCAGCCCACGTGCAAACAGGGTTCCTCTGTGTAACAGTCCTGGCTATCCTGGAACTTGTTCTCTAGACCAGGTTGGACTCGAACTCACAGAGATCCTCCTGCCTCTGCCTCCTGGGTGATGGGGTTAAAGGTGTGCACAGTATCACCGGCTGGCTCACAATCTCCTTAATTCCTTAATTCTGATCTGATACCTTCTTCTGATATACATGTAGTGCCCAGACAGACATGCAGGTGAAATACTCATACACATAAAGTAAATAATACCTGGCATGGTGGAGCATATCTTTAATCCCTGGACTGGAGAGGCAGAGGCAGGCAGATCTCTGTGAATCTGAGACCAGCCTGGTCTACATTGTGAGTTCCAGGACCCTGTCTTTAAAAAAAAAAAAAGTCTGTGGTCTGAGCTGCTGCTGGCTATTATGGGCAAGGAAGTTTCTTTTGCAGTGTTATTGATGACTGTGAGTAAGAGACATTGAATGCTACTGTGACAACATTCCACACACACACACACACACACACACACACACACACCCCATGAGAAAGAAAAGTCCAGATAGGAAGCCACTGATGAGAGTCTTTGAAACCGTTCTAAAGATGATGAAGTGTAGCTCTTCCCAGTTGATGGCTTCTATGGGGAAAGGGGGACAGGTAGAGTGATGAAGGGAGACCACACAGGGCTCAAATAACTTTAAGGGGCTGGCCTCTGGGAGAGATAGCATGCTCTGATGAGTTATATGGACAACACAAATTGGACTTGGGGGGGGCACAAGGGTGGGAGGGGGCCCAAGGGTGGAAGTGGTCACAAGGGTAGGAGGGTGGGCCTGGGAGGAATAGGAAATGAGTGTGATCACGGTGCACTGTATGAAATTCCCAAATAACAACAAAAAAAAAGTATTTCATTGGGGAAAAATGAAAAATAAATAAAATTAAAATAAATCTTAAAAAAAAAAACCTGGGTGGGGGTGTGGCTCTTGGTTTGATTCCCAACACCACATAAAGCTAGGTCTAGCTCCTCATCACTTCATTCTTGATTCTCAGGTAGGCTCTCCACGTGTTCTCCATCATACAGCTTAAAACTGAGAAAAAGCTCTGAGCAGTGGTGACAGATCTCTTGTGAGTTCAAGGATAGCCTGGTCTACAGAGCGAGCTCCAGGACAGGCTCGAAAGCTACAGAGAAACCCAGTGTTGAAAAACCAAACAAAGCCGGGTGTTGGTGGCGCACGCCTTTAATCCCAGGACTTGGGAGGCAGAGGCAGGCAGATCTCTGTGAGTTCGAGGCCAGCCTGGTCTCCAGAGTGAGTGCCAGGATAGGCTCCAAAGCTACACAGAGAAACCTTGTCTTGAAAAACCAAAAAAAAAAAAAAAACAAAAAAAAAAAAAAAAAAAAAAAAGAAAAGAAAAACCAAACAAACAAACAAACTGAGAAAAAGCAGCTATGGATAAAATGGGCTGGTAAATGATATATACGTCAGAAAAGACCTGCTGGCTGGCAGAGCTGAGGCTATGTCCAACATGTTAGTGGTGGGGGTGGGGCGAAGCTGCTGTGCAAAGGTGCAGGCACCACCCAAACTCACCAGCCCTAAGTACTGCTGCAAGGGCATGGTGCACTGTCTCCTGCAGAGTTCCCCGAGAACAGACTTTCTTCAGTTATTGGTGTGGCAATTGGGTAAATGCTGATATTTTCTAATACAAGCTTGAAATTTTGCTTTTCAAGACAAATCCAGCCGGGCGGTAGTGGCCCACGCCTTTAATCCCAGCACTCGGGAGGCAGAGGCAGGTGGATCTCTGTGAGTTCGAGACCAGCCTGGTCTACAAGAGCTAGTTCCAGGACAGCCTCCAAAGCCACAGAGAAACCCTGTCTCGGAAAACCAAAAACAAAAAAAAAAAAAAAAAAAAAAAAAAAAAAAAAAAATACAAATCCAACCATTTCTGTCTAGAGTTAATGAGAACATTCTGGAGTGTTTTGTCTGTGAATCTGGCTGTGGTGGTTTGAATAAAAAGGTCTGCATAGGCTCATACATTTCAATACTTAGTCACCAGTGAGTAGCACTGTTTGAAAGGATTAGAAGGATTAAGAGGTGTGCCCTGATGGAGGAAGTATGTTTTGAGGTTTCAAAAGCCTGTGCCAATCCCTCTACTTTTGTCTACAAATCAGAATGTAGGTCTCAGCTACTGCTCCAGGATCTGCCTGCCTGCCACCATGCTTCCTGCCATGATGTTAATGGACTAAACCTCTGAAACCGTTAGCAAGCTCCTATTGACAGACTTTTCTGTGGGCCGCCATCTCACAAAAAAATGACACAGAGACTTATTAATTCTAAAAGCTCAGCCTATGGCTTAGGCTTGTCCCACTAGTTCTTAGAACTTAAATTAATCCATTTCTATTCATTTATGTGTTGCCATGTGACTCCTGTCTTTTACCTCTTCTCTGGCATCTCTTGCTTCCTCTTCATTCAGCTGGCAACTTTTCCCTTTTTCCCAGTGTCCACTGTGCTTTGAAATCCTGCCTAGCTTTTAGCCATTCACATCTTCACAGTGTACAAAAAAGATTACTCCACAACCAGCCTCAATTAAATGCTTTTTTTGTTATATTTTCTTGGTCATGATGTCTCTTCACAGGAATAGAACAGTAACTAAGAACTGTCTCTGGTGGAACTACTAGGCATCATGCTTTAGTGTGGTAAATTCATTGGGTTTTGCTTGAATTTCAGTAGGTGTTGATATTGAGGAAAGTCTTGCAGAATGATATAAGGGTTTAGCCAACTGTATAATAATAACAGAAAACCAGATGGAATTATTAATTTATAAATATTGGGTTTGGTGTTTCAGTTCATTGCACTTGTATTCACCAAGCCTCTTGTTTTGGAACTTACAG